GAAAGAGGGCGGGCGGCGGCGGAAGCCCGGACTCAGAGAAGCATCGAGAACCGGAAGGAGACCCCGAGAGGAAGGACCTGGAAGCGGCAGCTGCGCGGAGGAGCCCCACGCCCCTCCCAGCGGCGTCCCCCAGTTTCCTCACTTGGTACGAAGGAGGCGGATCTCGCGAGAAACGCGCAGCAGCCTGGCCGGCGCTAGAGCTCTGCAATGACTTAAGGGCAGTTTTGTGCACTCTTCCTGGCAGAGCCCCGCCCCAGACCCGCGAACTCTCGCGAGATGCGCCAGACCGCTGACCGGAAGTAGGTGGGACCACCGACGGGAAGCACCGCCCTCCGAGCCTTGCGCTGGTGGGAGGGAGGGGAAGTGAAATTCCCCGGGCTGTGTGAACCTGCAGTAGCCTTTGGAAATGTGCGGGTGGGCGGGGCCGCGGGCGGATGGTGGATACCTGTGGTCCAGGTAGAACCGCGAGGGCAGGTGAACAGTGTTTATCTCCTTCTGGGCTGTCCCTCGCGGCCGCAGACGCCCCTCGCCAGGATAGGGGCAAGCCCGCAGAGCGCGTCCACGTGGCAGGGCCGGGCGCGTGCCCAACCTGGGAGGTGAGGATCCCGCGCAGATGTGGGCGATCAGAGATGGGAGAGCGCAGGCCGACAGCTTAGCGCCTTTCCTCGGTGTGTCCATTCCTGGGCCAGTGTAGCCAGTCCCCGAGAAATCGGATAGGGTTTTGGGTCGGAGAAGCTCAGAACGTGGTGGAATCGGCGTAGCGGTGTTGACATGGGCAAGATGCAGCATGTCCTAACCACTGAAGGGTTTCTAATACTCACCAAAGTGGAAATCTTTAAGGATTACATGAAAAATAAACTTGATTTTAAAATGTACTTCATGTAGAAAAAAAAGTATTACCAAATAAAGTCACAGGTCAATGATAAATGTTCCAAAAACAAAACGATATATGTTCTGAGAGGTACTGTTCAAGTGACCATATAGTGTCCCTGGAGTCACCAGTACTTCTCAAACTAGTATCCATAGCTATCACCTGGGGTTTTTTCAGAAGGCCTATTTTGATATAGTAGGCCAGGTTGGAAAGGGAGTCTATAGCTCTAACAAGCTCCCAGCTGATGTTGATACTTTTCAGTCGGAACTATTCTGAAGATAGCAAATCACCTAGGCGCTCAGCTCTGGCCTACTGGATACCTGCTTCCTGCCCTCGAAGAGTAATCTTTGCTTTGTCCTTTCTTCCTGCTCACAAGGTAGAGGCACAAGATTAGGCCTGAGGGTGGAGGGCAAAACCTGGTTTTGAGTTATTGCTTCCCATTTGTGAAATTGGTCTGGTTACTCATCTGAGTCTGTTTCTGCCCTACTCAGCTAAATGTAGTAATAGCTATCTTCTCTTTTGGAGTTGCCATGTGGTTCACGTGTCATAAGGATGCTCCCTTCACTTCTGTATAAATATGTTATTTAAGTAAAAAGTTAGATACTGGCCCGAGTGTGAAATAAATGTAGTAATAGGAATAGGTCATATATATGGAATTTATCACACACTGGATATTGTCTTAGTAGTCCTCTTTCACAAATGAAGAAACAGAGACACAGATTAAGTTACTAACCCAAAGTGACACAGCTAAGTGGCAGAAGTAAAATCTGAGCTTATACAATTCACTTCAGAATATTTATGGATGGAGTGTCATAGAGCAAGATGTTTTCTGTTTCTACGTTAAGTGACATCTGAAACTAACTTACTTGATTTCTGTTGATCTAACTTACTGTTTACTTCTTTCATTTCTTTTTCCAGAAGCCAGGGTACAAGGATAGGAAGAAACATTCCCACTTACAAAAAGGAAACCAATCATATCCAGGGAGGTCCACTCATAAAGAAAAGCCTCTGAAAAACCAACTTGTGTCATCCTAACCCCACCAAACTTTGGTATAAAAGCACAGTGGAACTCACTGCTGTAGGTTGACACACCACTGTGGACTGGGACAAACATGAGGAAAAGTTCCTAACTTTTTTGTGTCACAAGTCACTTAGGTGGTCTGGTAAAGCCGTAGACTTCCAAATAATATGCATATTAAATGTATTGTATTATAAAGTAAAACAATTTGAGAATAATAACAGAAAAACATTCATGTCATAAATATACTTTCTTTTAGAAGGTATAGAAATAGGTGATAGAAACCTGGGCGATAGTTTTATCTCATTTGTTGATTCCCACCCCCTATTTTTGGGTACCTGACTGGAAAATTGAACTATCCAAGTTGGTCAGAATGATTTATTTCCCATGTGTCCTGGGTAATCTAGGTTTTATTGTATCACATTCATTTATTATATGCCTTTGTAAATAAGATGTGTGGAAGAATTATAAGATGAAAATAATAAAGGATGAAAGAAAGTTAAATATTCCATATTTAAAATTTTAAATAGGTTTTAATAACAGTTCAAGTACTTACTGTGTGCTAGGTTCTTTTAACTCATTATCCCATCAAATTCCCATAATACAGATGAAAAATTCAAGGTTATATAATTAATAAGTAGTAGAACCAGGATTTGAAATAGGCAGACAGGCCTCAGAGACAGACCGTTTTTTTGGGAATGGATTCTTGCTAAGTTGCCTAGGTAGGTCTTCAACTTTTTGTCCTCTTCCCTTAGCCTCCCAAGTCCTGGGGTACCAGATGTATGCCACCAAGCTTGACCTCAAGGCCAGCACTCTTAACCACTAAGCTGTTTATTTTTAGTCTTTTGACTGTTTGCCAATATTAATTTTCCTGTTAGTGCAACACGTACATATTTGTTCCCTCAAAATATTTTATGTATTTCATGTAGAGCTCTACTCAGTGACTAAAAGGGATTTTCCAAACTCTTGCAGTGATACTAATTATATCCAATATTATCTTTAAATGGGCTAGTAGTTGGGTCTGGAAAATAGTTTGTTTTACAGAAATTTTTTGTTGTAATGGAGTTGGCACCAAAGATAAAATCCACCCATATCTATTCCAGCCCTGCAAACATACTTTCACATTTGAAATCTGAACTTTTGTTTGGTAATAGTGTCACTGTATTTTTTATATTAACTATTTTTTTGTTTGTTTGTTTTTTTTTTGTTTTTCTTCTGGTACCAGGAATCAAACTCATGACCTTGCGCTTGCCAGGCAGGCGCTGTGCCGCTGAGCTAAATCCCCAGCCCATTTTATATTAACTATTAACAAGACCATATACAAAGCAAGCGTAGTGGCATATGCCTATACTTCTAGCTGCTTGGGAACCTGGGGGTATGGAGGATTGCTTGAGCCCAGGAGTTCAAGGCCAGCCTGGACAACATGGTGAGACCTGATTTCTTGAAGTTAAGCAACATAACATATAAAAAATTCATTTATAAAATGAAGCCAAATGTATGGAATTCTAGATTATCCATGTTTAATGAGGCAAGCAATGAGGTAATCCCAAATTCAGTTTTGTTTGGCATTCTTTGGAAGTGAATTTTATTGGTCAACCAGGCTTACTGTTTACTTGCTTGGTTGTAATTGTAGTAGTAGATTTACTCATATTTTCCTAATTTGAGGCCTTATGATAAAGCAGGCTAGAATTAACGAAAATGTTTAAATATTTCACATACTTGCATTACACTGAGCCCACTTTACAGTTGCAGTTAAAGTTTACATTATCATTATTTGACTTATTTTATTTTATTTTTTATTTTTTGGTCTTTTTGAGACAGGGTCTCTCTAGCAGTTCAGGCTGGCCTTGAGCTCACTTTGTAGCCCAGGTTGTTCTCGAACTCACAACAATCCTCCTGCCTCAGCCTCTGGAGTGCTGGGATTACAGGCGTGTGCCACCATGCCTGGCTTCATTATTTGACTTAATTTGGTTTACAATGACAAAAATATCTCCCTCTACAAAAATAAAAGTTTTTTTTGTTTTGTTTTGTTTTGTTTTTTAATCATACTGGCCACTCTGGGAGGGCTCCCTCCTATGTATTGGCCCCCTGTGCTGCAGAACAGGTGCTGTTAAAATAAATCTCTGGTGTTCCTTTTAAAAAACCAAAACCAAAATAAAAGCTGGAGCTGGGGATGTAGTGCACTGCTTCCTCAGATCAATCCCCAGTAACACACACACACACACACACACACATATACACACATACACATGCTTTCATATTTTCTTACACATTACAAAGCCTGATAAAAATATGAAAGACTAAACAGGATGTAATGGTACATACCTGTAATCCCAGTGACTCAGGAGACTGGGGCAGGAGGATCACAAGTTCCAGGCCACGTGGGGCAATTTAGCGACCCTGTCTTAAAAAAAAGGGCGGGGTATGTAGCTCATCATTCCAAGATTCAATCCTTGATATTGCCAAAACAAAAAAAAAAAAATCAAGAAAATTACTATGAAATTGGCAAATAACTAATCCACAAAGAAAGTGTGGCAGGGCTCTAATATGTAAGTTCCTCACTGAGGGCACATTGTTATAATGATTTGAGTTTAACTAAAATATATTTGCAAGTAAATAAAATTAACATAGTTTGTACTGTAAGTACACACTATTAATGTATCTGGATAATGATTATTGTTAACATCTACATCTTCTTGTCTCTCTAAATTTGTCATAGAATTTTATAACTTGCCTAGGCCACTAGGTCTAATATAGTGTTTCTTATTAGTTTGTTTATTTATTTATTTATTTTTTAGTACTGGGAATCAAACTCAGGACCTTGCACTTGCCAGGCAGGTGCTGTGCCGCTGAGCTATATCCCTGGCTCTCTTATGAGTTTAATTACATTCCAAATGCATTTAATTACATTCTAATGTCAAGATATTACGTTCAGAATGCATTTTACATATTCTGCTTTGAGTAGATAATATGGAACTCAAGTCAACCAAATATGACTGCATAGTGTTTGTATAAAAATCAAGTGAACTTTTATACTTCCCAGTTCAGAATGCCATTTTTATTAAATTATTGTACTTCAAGAAAACTGTACTTTTATGCTAAGAACTTCATTTTAACCTTAAATTAATATGGTTTTTGGTATATTATGAACCATGAAAAAAAATCTTTACAATAAAAGTAAATTAGCACATTTGTTCCACACAAGAATGTGCACAAATATTCAGAGTAGTACTAGTCATGATATTCAAGAAGTAGACAAAGCCAAATGTGCGTCAGCTGATGAGTGGGTAAAAGGTGACACATCCATAGAACGGGATAGTACTGGTAAGGAGTGCAATATCCGTGTTATGTGTGTCTTTAAAACATTCTGCTAGGTGAAAAAAGCCACTCATAGAAGGCCATACATGTTACATGATTCCATTTGTCAGATGCTCAGCAGTAGCCAATCCATGGGGTAGAAGGTGACTACCTCAGTGCCGGGAGCTGTAAGAGGAACGACTCACTAACCAGGGTGGGGTTCTTTGGGAGAGGCTGTGAAATCTTCTAACATGGATAATGGTGATGATTGCACAGCTCTTTGTAGAGACTAAAACCTATGGAATTGTGTGCTTCAAAAGCATCACTATTACATATGTGAGTTATCTCAATATTGATGTTTCTTTAAAAAATGTACAAGCCGGGCATGGTGGCACACACTTGTAATCCCAACACTGGGGAGGCTGAGGCAGAGGATTGTTGTGAGTTTGAGGCCAGCCTGGGCTACAAAGTGATCTCAAGGCCAGTCTGAACTGCATAGCAAGACCCTGTCTCAAAAAAGCAAAAAACAAAACAAAACAAAAAAACAATAAATTAAAAATGTACAATCAAATTAGAAACTCACCTGGAAGCTTCTAGTAAATTTTTTAAAGATAGTATTTTTCACATCATTCATGGTAAATGAGATACATCTTTGTAACTAACAGATTTTTCCTTCAGTATAAACAATGTAATTTTTATTTGATTTTAATGTACTAAGCACTTGCTGTCAATCTTAAATTTGCAGGTATTTTTATCAATATTTTATTTGTGCAATATAACATAATGACTAAGAATTAACTCTTGTTTATTTTTTTGTTTTTTGTTTTTTTCCAGTACTGGGAATTGAACTCACAACCTTGCACTTGCCAGGCAGGTGCTGTGCCACTAACCTAAATCCCCAGCCCCAAGAATTAATTCTTGATCACAGTCTTCTTTTTTTTTTTTTTTCCCGTTCCGGGAATCGAACTCAGGACCTTGTGGTTGCCAGGCAGATGCTGTGCCAAGATTTAACTCTTTTTTTTTGGCAGCATTGAAGAGCAAATTCAAGAGAAGCTGGGAAGTGCTCCGCCAACGAGCCACACCTCCCAGCAAAATTAATTTTTAAACAGTATTATATTTCATTCCAGCTCTCAGGAGGCTGAAGCAGGAGGATCGTTGTGAGTTCGAGACCAGCCTGGGCTACAAAATGAGCTCACAGCTGGCCTGAACTGCACAGCGAGACCCTGTCTCAAAAAGATTAAAAAAAAATTTAAAAATAAGCAGTATTATATTTCATTAAATATAAATGATCCTAGTTATGACCAGAAATAGAGCATGTTTGATCTTGGTATGCTCTATATATATTGGGAAAAAAAATCCATAAAATTTTAAATGAAATTAGATTAAAAATCAAGAAAACAATCAAAAGATTTAGAGGAGTACATATTTAAACATAAGGAATTCAAATTAAAATTACTTTCAAACCATAATGAAGCTCTTTCTTGTTTAATAATGATACAAAACCCCAAAGTAAACAGAGATAGGGTGTGATTTATACTAGAATTGATAACTCTTCCACCAGTATTGGATTTGATTACTTAAATGCCTATATAAGGGTTCGTCAATAAAATAGTGATGATAAATTTAAATTTTCTTGTGTTGAACAACTTTAAGAGTGGTTGTAGCAATGCAGTACATAGTGGCTGTCAAGGATCAGAGGTCCATGGGATTTGAGCGAGAAAGAGCCATCCTAAGGTTTTGAGTTCTTGTGCCCACAGCCATCCCTCGGTGTCCTGAGGGGACAGTTTCAGGACACACACACACAGGTACCACAAGCCATTCTGCTCTAGGCCCTTATATAAAATGTCATAGCATTTGCATTTAACCCAATTAGGTCCCCCTCTAAATCGTACCTAAGACACTGAATGACACAGACAGTTCTGTATTTAGGGATTACTGTCACAAAAAACCTGTGTCTGTTCAGTTCAGATCAGGGGTTTTAAAAAAATATTTTCCATCTGCAGTGGGTTGAATCTAGGTGCCAAGGCGTCTGTCTGGCACCTGTTAAAGATTCTTTCATTGCATAGAAGCACATGGCCCAAAAGAATGGACAGAACTTTGAGCACTATTCCACTACAGCTCAAAAAGTGCTTACTCCAAGGATTTAGCTTGTCTGATGGGTAAGAAGTGTGAACGTTTCAGAGATATTCCATTGTCAAAGTGTATCAAATTTCAAATATCAAACTTAGTGATTGAGTAATAATGAAACTGGGCTTTCCTATACATATTTGGTAAGAAAATAGGATGAGACAGATTCCTCTTATATCCAAATACCCATTAAAAAAGAACTCCTGGCCTTACCATGCTTGAAATTCAGTGTTTTAGACATTTACAGATTAGGGAGAGACTAGCTTTTCCTTGTTTTCCCCCTTTTTGTTCTGCACTGATAGGGAAGATTACTCTGGAGCATGCCGGGGGAGGGCACAGTGCCTACCCTTGGCTTGATGGGGTTATGTTTAGGGAAAGCAGGCAAGGTAAGGACACTGGAAGCTAGATGGAAAGGTACACAGAAAGAAGCAGGAAGGGAAATGTTAAAGACAAATTTAACCTGTACTTGGGGTGAGCCCTGTGAGCTGCGAATGAGGAGGAAAGCTTTTTCCTTCTTCCTGTCATATTTCTTCCTTATTTTATTCATGCATTTGTGTATATATGTAATGTATGACAAGCAAATATTTTTGTTTTTCCATCCCCTTATTATGTAACATAAGATACGCCAACTTTATATTAATATTTAAATATTGTTAACTTTACATCACGTTATATCAGGAGATAAGGGAGTATCACTCAAGGACTTCACATGGTCTTCAGGAGAAGCGATTAGAGTCTGATTTGAGAAA